GTCCCGGTCCGGCCCAGTCGCCCAACGGCTCCCCCAGCATGAGGAGGACAGAGAGCCGACAGCACCTCTCGGTGGAGTTGGCTGATGCCAAGGCTAAGATTAGACGTCTGCGGCAAGAATTGTGAGTCCCTGTTTTGTTTCTGTATTAGCTAACTAGCTAATGATTTGCTACGTCCCGATTGATGCTTCACCGACTGTACCATTCTGCCATGATGACTCAAATGGCCATCTGACTGTGAATTGACTAGCTCGTTATTCAATAATTCGCTACTTCCTGATTTGTATAGAACTGATGGTGCAGTTTTGATTTAGTTAAATGTAGCATTCTTAACATTCCAACTGTGAATGACTATCAAACCAACTAAATAGCTACGTAATGTGGTACTTCTGATTGTAGTTCATGGAGAAAGGGAGGTGAAGTTTTGATTCTGTGTTAGTGTGTACCATTCCTGCCATAGATAGGAAAGTAAAGAATGAACTAACAAACCACCTACCTACTTGAAACTAACTTAAAAGCTGGATAGTTATCAGATTAACTACCTAGCTATCCTGACAGTATTTTATTATTTCCTGTACTCAAATGGCCTACCAGACAAACAACCAGCCAGTAAGATAGCTAGGTTTTTAGCTACTTCCTGATTTCCACAGAATAGACGTATAGGAGCATTCATAATGCAAGAATACAGTGTTCATATATAGTGCAAATCTCAGTGGCGACCATCACTGTATGCCCAGACATCCAAACAAGTGAAGGTGCTCTCATAAAGTATATATATGTGGTCTTGTAATGAATTATCGAACTTCAGTTTGCTTTCATTTCAGTGCGTAAGTATTTCAGTGTTGCACATACAGTAGGTTAGTTTGTTTCAATGTCATGAGGCCCAGACAGTCGATAGTACTTTTTAATGAGATTGTTTTGTTCCGCTTGCAAAGATGGACCGTTAAATGCTAAAATGGATGACAACAAGTCTCCTCCAGAAAATTGGACTCGTTTGTTGTGGCGTTCCATCACTGCAGGCGCCACTCTTTGCTTGGAAGTGGAGCTGGGAATGTAAATCAAGATCATTAGTTGTTGTTGTTTGGCGGTTGCTATGGCATTGTCACAGATTGCAACACAAAGGGTTGGGTCGCATTTAGCCGCTAACGGGCACAACTAGTGACTTGAAGATGGGCACAGCGAGCGACTCGAAGGAGGACATAGTATATTGACAGTTAAAGTGCATTCAATCAGAATCATCTTTATTGGCCAAGTATGTAGAACACACAAGGAATTTGTTTCCCATAATATAGGCTACACTAGTATACCAAGCAATGACGAAGAAACAAAGACCTGAACATTTAAGTATCGAAAGATTTTCTCCATGTAAGGGTACCATTGTGCAGTAGTCCCACCCAATGGCAGCTGTGCGACAATGTGTGTAGTCATCGAGCAGAGATAAAGTGATTAGTGGGGCAATACAGTACTGTGACGGTTGTGCAGATAATTGTTGCACCATTTTTAAGTGACCAACAGCAGGAATTGTGATACAACTTTAGGTGTGCGAACATACAGAAACTCCTTGAGCGCTTTCAAGTGTCTGCTGCTGTGGAATATTGATGAACAACAATTGTTCTAGTATGTAGAGAGCTGAATCTACAATGATTAGGGGTGACGTGCAAGAATGCCAAAAGCCACGATAGATTTGCGTTTCTTTTTAGGGAGTTAATTGCGAGGGGGAAGAAGTTGTTTGAATGTCTGGTCGAGCTGGGCCTACAAGTAGAGTATAATTTAGCGGCCAAAAGACACCATTAGGTTCTAAGTATTGGATATGGTGTGCACGATGAACAAAGCGTAGTACTGTATTTAGCTGGCAACAGAAACTGTTAGCCGCTAGCTGATGGCAATCCCATACCTTGTCGCTGCCAAGAGCTTAATGCTGACCGTATCATAGTTATTATGAGAGAATAAAGCGTATCAAAGGGGTGTGGGGAGGGTTTAAATATAGCAGTGCACACCAGTGTTTGCTAAGGTGCAAAGCGTGTTAAACCGTGAGCAGCCCAGCCAGCTGCATGCAAAATGTGAGCCTGCAGCTAATCTTCAAGGCAGGATCTGACAGGTGTTTGTGATTTGGGGAAAGAGTTGGAGGAGGGGATAACTGCTTAAATGAAAACAGGGATCTCCATGAAGGATACCATTGCCTTATTGAGATGTTGTCGTGAAGCTGCAGACATATTTGCATGTCGGTTGCTGTTTATCTTGGAGTTGTAACTGTCGTTTGGTGTCGAGTGTGACGCTCGGCAGACGGCGCTTGTTGGATGTAGTCGGAGTCAAATTCAGGTCAGGACGACTGGGAAATATACACATGAGCTACCGTGTATTTCCGGGAAGTTTCATTTGGTACGCCGTAATCTAGGCCATCGTGTAAAGCTTTTCTTGTACACTTTTATTAGCAATGTTGTTGCCAGCTTAGTGGAATTTTCTAAGAAATATAGAGAATGAACAGAGTAGGGCATTTACATGGAAAATGTGTCTCTACTTACAAAATTTTTTTAGTGAAGACATTTCTTCCAGAACCAATTAATTTCGTAAGTAGAGGTACCACTGTACTGTCACCATAGCGAGTTTCGACACATATTTGAATGCACAAGTTAGCATTGGCTTCTGATAAGTGAGGCATAGTTGACAGCCAGGTGAAGTCGGCGTGATAATGTCTGATGCCCTGTGCACTGATCCGCTAATTGAGAAGGATATGAAGTGCCGCGCCCGTGAGCGAAAGTGCTTTTATTGTTTTTACGGAAGGGCACTCTTTTTAATGTTCCGCACCAATCAATTCTGTTAGCTTAACGCATCTAGTTTATCGCAGTTTTTGTTGCTTTTCCAGGGAAGAGAAGAGCGAGCAGCTTCTTGACACACGGCAGGAGCTGGAGAACATGGAAGTGGAGCTCAAGAGGATCCAACAGGAGGTAAGTGGAACACAACGTAGTAGTACACCTCCTACTACTCGTATGCGTTATCTCTGTGGCTCTTAATTGGCTCTCGCTCTTTAGCAGTTGCTATAATTGGCACTGTCTTTAGCTTGAAGCAGCAGCCTCACGCTGTTTGGTAGACGCCGCAGCTAATCGAGGTGGTTGAGGTCAAGGCAATGGAGGACACTGTGGACACCACTGTCTACTTAAAACCCAGCACACAAGGCTACCGAGATCCAATGGCCCCGTACTCCGTTGGTATAGCTGCTTCAAGCCATGATCACATTGGTGCCTTGCCCCCATTTTTTAAATTTTTTTCCCCTCCAATCCATTTTAATGGGCATCAATTATGCATGGATTCTGCTTTTCGCAGGCCGGCACTGTCTCTGTCCCTCAAAAGAGGTGTTTTTCACACATCAAAGCCATCAATGAATTGTAGCATAAGCCTGCTCATTGTCTTTTTTCACATGACAGTAACCACATGAGTCACGATCAGGGATTGATGCGATGTAGTCATGGTCATATTCTGTTCCACAGTCACTAATTCTACAGGAGGTGTCTGGTAGATTTTTTTATTAGATTTTTTTTTTCTTCAAATAATGTCATAATGCACATAAAAGCAAGCTAGATTGCTTGTAAACAAAATAAAACAATTGCTTCTGTCTCCAGTGTGAGAAAAAGGAAGATTACATCGAACGCATCCAGACTCTGGATTTCAACACCAAAGCTGCCATCGCTTCCCACATCCAAGAGGTGAATATCCCTCACGCTCAATCTCCCACGGTCCTCTCACTGATGCTAGAGTGTGATTTAAAGGTAACGCACAACCCGGAGAATGTCGTGGACCTGCAGTGGCTGGAAAGTGGGGAGCTGCCCGCCGAGGACCTGGCAAGCCTATCCAGGAATCTGGCCTTTCATCTCAAACACGTGGTGGATGACAGGGACACGCAGCTGGAGGTAAGGTTTTGTTGCTTCCTTCATCATGCAGAATGGATAGTTGTTGTGTTAACTTTGTCACTGGAATAATGACTCAAACTGCAGCAATTTCAAAATCACTAAATAACTGCCACGATGTTCAGCATTTAGCTGAGAACAGACAAAATGAGCGACACAACTATTGACTTCAAGGTGGACATGTTAGCATTTAGCTGCTAATAGACGCAACGAGGAGATGCGAGAGGAACTTGTTAATCCGTAGTTCATGCAGAATGGCTGGCACCATGTTCAGTTGTGTGGGAAGTTGACCACAAGCAAGTGGCCTCAGGAAGGAAAAGGCTGCAGATTGTTTAACTGTCTCGTGGGTGAACGATTGGAGTGTCTGTGTCCGTGTTTTTCTCACGAATCACGCGTCACTTGTGTTTCCAGCCATAGGGGGCAGATGCCGACAACTGATACAAATGCGTGCGTGCGTGCGTGCGTGTGCGTGTGCGTGCGCGTGCGTGCGCGTGCGCGTGTGTGTGTGTGTGTGTGTGTGTGTGTGTGTGTGTGTATATATATATAATCGCCTCCAGATTACCAGTGTGCTATCCAGAAGTTCTCAATTAAAAGTCCATTTCCTGTCACAGCCTGGGGATCATGTTGCTGTCGTAAAGCCCTTTTTTTTCTAGTTAACATACTTAATTGTCATATCAGCATAGAACAGTTAACCAAGGCTGGTTTAGTTTAATTTGTGCCAATTCAAACTCATCTCTCCTTTGGTCCAGACTATCGTGGAGCTGACCCAAGAGAGGGACTGTATTCAGCTGTCTCCGCTGGGTACCGGTCCGGCCCAGTCGCCCAACGGCTCCCCCAGCATGAGGAGGACAGAGAGCCGACAGCACCTCTCGGTGGAGTTGGCTGATGCCAAGGCTAAGATTAGACGTCTGCGGCAAGAATTGTGAGTCCCTGTTTTGTTTCTGTATTAGCTAACTAGCTAATGATTTGCTACGTCCCGATTGATGCTTCACCGACTGTACCATTCTGCCATGATGACTCAAATGGCCATCTGACTGTGAATTGACTAGCTCGTTATTCAATAATTCGCTACTTCCTGATTTGTATAGAACTGATGGTGCAGTTTTGATTTAGTTAAATGTAGCATTCTTAACATTCCAACTGTGAATGACTATCAAACCAACTAAATAGCTACGTAATGTGGTACTTCTGATTGTAGTTCATGGAGAAAGGGAGGTGAAGTTTTGATTCTGTGTTAGTGTGTACCATTCCTGCCATAGATAGGAAAGTAAAGAATGAACTAACAAACCACCTACCTACTTGAAACTAACTTAAAAGCTGGATAGATATCAGATTAACTACCTAGCTATCCTGACAGTATTTTATTATTTCCTGTACTCAAATGGCCTACCAGACAAACAACCAGCCAGTAAGATAGCTAGGTTTTTAGCTACTTCCTGATTTCCACAGAATAGACGTATAGGAGCATTCATAATGCAAGAATACAGTGTTCATATATAGTGCAAATCTCAGTGGCGACCATCACTGTATGCCCAGACATCCAAACAAGTGAAGGTGCTCTCATAAAGTATATATATGTGGTCTTGTAATGAATTATCGAACTTCAGTTTGCTTTCATTTCAGTGCGTAAGTATTTCAGTGTTGCACATACAGTAGGTTAGTTTGTTTCAATGTCATGAGGCCCAGACAGTCGATAGTACTTTTTAATGAGATTGTTTTGTTCCGCTTGCAAAGATGGACCGTTAAATGCTAAAATGGATGACAACAAGTCTCCTCCAGAAAATTGGACTCGTTTGTTGTGGCGTTCCATCACTGCAGGCGCCACTCTTTGCTTGGAAGTGGAGCTGGGAATGTAAATCAAGATCATTAGTTGTTGTTGTTTGGCGGTTGCTATGGCATTGTCACAGATTGCAACACAAAGGGTTGGGTCGCATTTAGCCGCTAACGGGCACAACTAGTGACTTGAAGATGGGCACAGCGAGCGACTCGAAGGAGGACATAGTATATTGACAGTTAAAGTGCATTCAATCAGAATCATCTTTATTGGCCAAGTATGTAGAACACACAAGGAATTTGTTTCCCATAATATAGGCTACACTAGTATACCAAGCAATGACGAAGAAACAAAGACCTGAACATTTAAGTATCGAAAGATTTTCTCCATGTAAGGGTACCATTGTGCAGTAGTCCCACCCAATGGCAGCTGTGCGACAATGTGTGTAGTCATCGAGCAGAGATAAAGTGATTAGTGGGGCAATACAGTACTGTGACGGTTGTGCAGATAATTGTTGCACCATTTTTAAGTGACCAACAGCAGGAATTGTGATACAACTTTAGGTGTGCGAACATACAGAAACTCCTTGAGCGCTTTCAAGTGTCTGCTGCTGTGGAATATTGATGAACAACAATTGTTCTAGTATGTAGAGAGCTGAATCTACAATGATTAGGGGTGACGTGCAAGAATGCCAAAAGCCACGATAGATTTGCGTTTCTTTTTAGGGAGTTAATTGCGAGGGGGAAGAAGTTGTTTGAATGTCTGGTCGAGCTGGGCCTACAAGTAGAGTATAATTTAGCGGCCAAAAGACACCATTAGGTTCTAAGTATTGGATATGGTGTGCACGATGAACAAAGCGTAGTACTGTATTTAGCTGGCAACAGAAACTGTTAGCCGCTAGCTGATGGCAATCCCATACCTTGTCGCTGCCAAGAGCTTAATGCTGACCGTATCATAGTTATTATGAGAGAATAAAGCGTATCAAAGGGGTGTGGGGAGGGTTTAAATATAGCAGTGCACACCAGTGTTTGCTAAGGTGCAAAGCGTGTTAAACCGTGAGCAGCCCAGCCAGCTGCATGCAAAATGTGAGCCTGCAGCTAATCTTCAAGGCAGGATCTGACAGGTGTTTGTGATTTGGGGAAAGAGTTGGAGGAGGGGATAACTGCTTAAATGAAAACAGGGATCTCCATGAAGGATACCATTGCCTTATTGAGATGTTGTCGTGAAGCTGCAGACATATTTGCATGTCGGTTGCTGTTTATCTTGGAGTTGTAACTGTCGTTTGGTGTCGAGTGTGACGCTCGGCAGACGGCGCTTGTTGGATGTAGTCGGAGTCAAATTCAGGTCAGGACGACTGGGAAATATACACATGAGCTACCGTGTATTTCCGGGAAGTTTCATTTGGTACGCCGTAATCTAGGCCATCGTGTAAAGCTTTTCTTGTACACTTTTATTAGCAATGTTGTTGCCAGCTTAGTGGAATTTTCTAAGAAATATAGAGAATGAACAGAGTAGGGCATTTACATGGAAAATGTGTCTCTACTTACAAAATTTTTTTAGTGAAGACATTTCTTCCAGAACCAATTAATTTCGTAAGTAGAGGTACCACTGTACTGTCACCATAGCGAGTTTCGACACATATTTGAATGCACAAGTTAGCATTGGCTTCTGATAAGTGAGGCATAGTTGACAGCCAGGTGAAGTCGGCGTGATAATGTCTGATGCCCTGTGCACTGATCCGCTAATTGAGAAGGATATGAAGTGCCGCGCCCGTGAGCGAAAGTGCTTTTATTGTTTTTACGGAAGGGCACTCTTTTTAATGTTCCGCACCAATCAATTCTGTTAGCTTAACGCATCTAGTTTATCGCAGTTTTTGTTGCTTTTCCAGGGAAGAGAAGAGCGAGCAGCTTCTTGACACACGGCAGGAGCTGGAGAACATGGAAGTGGAGCTCAAGAGGATCCAACAGGAGGTAAGTGGAACACAACGTAGTAGTACACCTCCTACTACTCGTATGCGTTATCTCTGTGGCTCTTAATTGGCTCTCGCTCTTTAGCAGTTGCTATAATTGGCACTGTCTTTAGCTTGAAGCAGCAGCCTCACGCTGTTTGGTAGACGCCGCAGCTAATCGAGGTGGTTGAGGTCAAGGCAATGGAGGACACTGTGGACACCACTGTCTACTTAAAACCCAGCACACAAGGCTACCGAGATCCAATGGCCCCGTACTCCGTTGGTATAGCTGCTTCAAGCCATGATCACATGTAGATCCCTCCTTTTCATTCTCGGGGGGGGGGGGCATTAAGTAACCTGTGATTTCCAAGATGCTATCGTGCACACATGGATATGAAAGAGTTAACAGCCGATCACGTTATGCAGGCTTTGTCATCCACTTAATAAGGTGTCCTCCTGAAGATCCATTCTTCATCATTCATGATGAAGGATGTTAGCTACTTAAAAAAAATACCTCCCACAAATAGCTGCCTCCTTTTTACTCTCAGAAGGAGAAAAAAAATGTGGTAACTGTAATTACCTTTGTTGAAGCTGTTGTTCATAAACCGACATTAGTGTCAAACATCTGAGCCCAAGATGTGGGGTCTGGATCTACTAAAGAAAAATAAATGCCTCCTGCAAATGGTCAACTCGATTGCTTACCGAGACAACAGCGAACAGTCTCTCTGATAATGTAAAATGGTGAGCGTTTACACAAATGCATCTACTTTGTCTTTCAACACATTAAGAGCTACCAGCTTCTATCAGACGCTCGCTCGGCCCGGGCGTACCGCGACGAGCTGGACGCCCTCCGAGAGAAAGCCATCCGCGTGGACAAGCTGGAGAGCGAGCTGTGCCGCTACAAGGAGAGACTCCACGACATTGAGTTCTACAAGGCCAGAGTGGAGGTACGGTGATTTCGTTCAACACTGAAAACGAGATGAGGAAAGAGCGTAACTTGCTTGTCTATTAGTCTCTATATTTGATCAAAACTAGCACAAATAACTGCTCATACAGGGGGATTATATTTCCTGTAATGTAAAGAATAAAAGTTGTAAAAAGTTTGTCTTGAACACTTTCACTGCAAAGAGTACAGGTTTTCAGATTTTGCCTTGGGGTTTAGCAGCCCTGTATTTTCCTGCCTTATCGTGAATCACATGGCATCCACATAGAGTAGTACACACTGTGTAAGGTTCTCTGCCCTATAAAGGCGTGCAAGCAACGCAAGTTGATTTTTAAACTGAGTGTAGTTCTGCGTTTTTGCTCTGTGATGAATTGTGTAGGAGTTGAAGGAGGACAATCAGGTCCTGCTGGAGACCAAAACCATGCTGGAGGAGCAGTTGGATGCCAGCAGGAGCCGATCTGACAAACTGCACCTCCTGGAGAAGGAAAATCTGCAGCTAAAATCCAAAATCCATGATCTGGAGATGGTGAGACAAACACATGTGGAAAGAGGTCGGGTTGCTGTTTTAGCACTTCTAAAATCAAGTTGTTTCCATCAGGAGCGAGATTTAGATCGCAAGCGAATGGAGGAGCTGTTGGAGGAAAACCTGGTGCTGGAAATGGCCCAGAAACAGAGCATGGATGAGTCCTTACACCTGGGCTGGGAGTTAGAACAACTGTCCAAAACACCAGAGCTGACTGAAGGTAAGAAGAACCAGGCGCCACAAGCATCCTGGCGAACTTCCATTGGCTTGGCCTCAACTCATGGCCAAAGTCTTGTAATTAATATTCATCGGCTCCCGGAAGATAATCTGTTCTTTTCAGTTATTAAAGCTGTTAAGAGGTTTAACTAGCCAGGGATCTGCATAACGACTTGTTGTTTATTGAAATAACATTTAACAGCTTTTACACCTGGAACCTTACACCATGGGGCTTTGTCTCAAAGGGGACCTGTTGTGGGGGGAAAAAATTGAATTGATTATACATGCTTGTATTGTGGGAAAAGACATCATGTGTCCTTTTAATTTACATTTTGTTGACAAAGCTTCATTTAATTATCTGCTCGTTGCTGCCTCAGCACCTCAGAAGTCCCTCGGTGAAGAGGTGAATGAGCTGACATCCAGTCGGCTGCTAAAATTGGAGAAGGACAACCAGACGCTGCAAAAGACGGTGGAGGAGCTCCGGGGAGGCACTGGTTCGGACTCGGTGGCCAAACTGGGCAAAGTCAGCCAGGAGAATCAGAGGCTGAACCAGAAAGTGAGCAATGTTGTTGTTATTCCTTGGAGGTACACAACATGGCTCCGTCACTGGCCCAATGCTTTTTAAAAATATATATTTTGGCTTATTTTCACGTTGCTAAATAGAAATTGCTCATTTTACTCTGATACAAATACATCCGATGGCTGGTCTTTCGACCTTTTCCCACACCACCAGAAGTACCAGAGAGAAAAGAGCAGAAAGTATTTGGAGAGTGGAAGAAAAGCACCATGCAAGCAAAGCTGTAAATCCCACCTGCTTGGCTTTGCCTTTTCTTTTCCCACTCAGTGACACCCTAAATGCCCCTCGCCCAGAGGAGCCTCTTTGCAGGGAGGTACGCCTCCTGCGGGCTTGCTCTATTACAATTCTGTTCTTCTTCCCACACAAGGGCGGGTTTTATCTCAGGATGCATTGATGTCTTTAGTAACAGTGCTTAAAAAAATTGAAAGCACTTAATATTAAAAGGGAACAAATCTGTGTCGAATTTAGTGTGTCCATGCTTTGTGCTAAAAACAGGTTCACAAACATAATGTGGACCTGTTTTTAGCACAAGCATGGACACAATGAGGACCACACTGAAAGTGACATCAAAATAGAAGCAACTTAGAGGCAGATTACCCAGTTACACCTCAATAACACGAGTACAGCATATATATGGGTCTTTTCAGGCAAATATGGTTTTTAAAATTGACATCATAATAAACAAGCACCATTGCTGACATTGTGTTGACTTCGTTGGACAGCACACTACTGTTGACTGAACCAACAGGGCCTCTCCTGGTTGACACGAGACAAAATTCATAAACAATCAAATTGACACAAAGTGAATACATTGATTATTATTATTCTCACTACGAATGTGACTGATTTGTGTGCAGCTGGAGCATCTGGAAAGTGAACTCGCGGCCGAGAAAGAGTCACTCCACAGCGCCGAGTCTCTGAGCACGGATCTGATGAAGGAGAAAGCCTTACTGGAGAAGACGCTGGAAACGCTGCGGGAAAATTCCGAGAGACAGGTACCAGATCACAATCGGTTTCAGCATGACACTTTAAACGTAACCTCAATCTAAGTCTTAACTGGAATGACCTCCATTTTGTGCAGAAATGCCCTGAATGGATCATGTGGCTTACTTACTTGATCACACGAGGCAGTCATTGTACCAAACATGACAGTATGTGATTCCTCCTTTGGGAATGTGGAGCACGCACAAACAAAATGTTCATTGATCATTTTATTCCCCCTAAGAAGCTGCTTTGGAAAATAATGTGCGTCATTTACCATTTACCAAAAGCGAGCAATGACAGTGCATTTTCTAAGAGGAGCTGTTTTTATGACTGCTTGGCCTAGATGCAGACGCTCTGATTCACTGTCAGGGGTCCACGGAGACTCTGTAGCGGTTCGACCCAAATAGGACACTTTCGATTACTTCACGTGTTTGACTGATGAAACACAGCATGGACGACGCCACATGATAGATTCCAAGATTACTGTGGTTAGAGAAAAATGTGTGCTTCTGTGTTACTGCTTCCGGGAAAATGTCTGAGTAATACCTGAAAATGAGTCAAATAACACATTTCAACCAAAATGAGCTTGATGCTCGTGTTAATCACGGTAGCTAGATTCTGTTCTCATACAAGTAATGCTGCATTAAAGTGTAATCTACTGTCAATTTATACTTTTGACAAGTGCTCTCCAATGGTTTTTGAAGTCACGCAGAGATGCTTTTAAAAGACCACATAAGCTACACTGCTACATTACATCTGGTCATGTTCTTAATTCACGTGTGGGTGGAACTCTTTGTCTGCCCTTATGCACTCCAAGTGCGATCCTTTTGACCTCCCAGCCATCCTGTAAGAGGCAGACTCGTTTTCCGCTGGCCTGAGTGCTACTGCATGACATCACTGGTTATGTCTCCTGAAGCACAGTATGCTGAGTTGAGCTGTGTTGTGTCCGCAGCTGAAGGGTCTGGAACAGGAGAACAAGCATCTAAGCCAGACGGTGTCATCCCTGCGTCAACGCAGCCAGGTGGGCGCCGAGGCTCGTGTCAAGGACGTGGAGAAGGAGAACCGCATCCTCCATGAGTCCATCTGCGAGACCACGGGCAAGCTCAACAAGATGGAGTTTGAGCGGAAACAGCTGAGTGAGGCAACGTCTCCGCCAGCGCTTTCTCGTGTGTCTGTTTTCTTTTCCTCCGTCGGATCAACACGGCGGCCGTTTGTCTGCAGGAAAAGAACTGGAGTCCTTGAAAGAGAAGGGCGAGAGAGCGGAGGAGTTGGAGATTCTGATACAGAAGTTGGAGCGGGACAACGAAAGTCTGCAGAAGAGAGTGGCCAGTTTGGGAATCACCTGCGAGAAGGTTGGTTCTTGTCGTTTCCTGGAAGCCTCCAGGAAGAAATACTGCAAATTGAATTCTCTGGATTAAAAAAAAAAAAAAAAAACGAGCTGGCCATAGTTTTCCCATCCCTACTTTAGCCCCTGCGCTGTGAATTTCAATACATTATCATTTTATTATTCATGTTAGACATTGGAATTAAAGACTGACTTATCATCTGAGGTATCCCACCGTCATTGTCAGCAAAATCAGGTCAGTACTTTTAAAATCCTGCCAGTGTTTGAGGCAACAGTCTTCTCCGTTTATTCCACCTGAAGGTATCGGCGTTGGAGAAGGAGAACACCGACCTGGAGGCGGAGAGCCGGCGCCTCAAGAAGAAGCTGGACAGTCTGAAGAACATGGCCTTCCAGCTGGAGGCGCTGGAGAAGGAGAACTCGCAGCTGGAGCAGGAGAACCTTGAGGTGCGACGCTCGGCCGAGAGCTTCCGCTCAGCCGGGGTCAAGGCCGTGCAGCTCGAGGCCGAGAACAGGGAACTGGAGAGCGAGAGGAGCCAGCTTAAGCGCAGCCTGGAGCTCCTCAAAGCCACCTCCAAGAAAACAGAGCGATTAGAGGTGAGACGTTCCCGCCAAACGGGTCCACCGGTGTTAGTTTTAATGGTGCCTCTGACTCACCACAAGCAGTCAACTTTGTTTTTCTGTCCTACTCTGACCGCTCCCATCACCCTAGGTGAGCTACCAGGGCCTGGACACCGAAAACCAGCGCTTGCAGAAAGCGCTGGAGAACAGCAGCAAGAAGATCCAGCAGCTGGAGGCCGAGCTTCAGGAGGTGGAGTCCGAGAACCAAACCCTCCAACGCAACCTGGAGGAGCTCAAGATCTCCAGTAAGCGTCTGGAGCAACTGGAGCAGGAGGTGGGTAGAGAAATGAGGCGCCGATTATAACACCAGGTACATTTTTGGACTCGTCTACTGTCATGGTTCCAGAACAAGACGCTAGAGCAGGAGAGCTCCCAACTGGAAAAGGATAAGAAGCTCCTGGAAAAGGAGAATAAGCGGCTGAGGCAGCAGGCAGAAATCCGCGACTCCAAGCTGGACGACAGCAACCAGCGAATCACCATCTTGGAGAAAGAGAACCGTACCATGGGCAAGGAGATGATCTTTTTCCGGGACTCGTGCACACGGGTCAAAGACCTGGAGAGAGAGAACAAGGAACTGGTCAAACAAGGCACCATTGATAAGAGGACCCTCATCACGCTGAGAGAGGTTTGTGGGAAAAAATGAAGAAATGGCTTTTTTTAGTTGGAGTGAAATGAAACAAATTCTCCCTTTGTTTGTGATTAGGAATTGGTAAGCGAGAAGTTGCGCTCTCAGCAGACCAACAACGACCTGGAAAAACTGACGCATGAGCTGGAAAAGATTGGACTAAACAAGGAGAGGCTGCTGCTCGACGAGGACTCCGACGATAGGTATCCATAAGTTCATTTCGAACTCGGTCTGTCATCTCGGGTAGTGCAACCGGGAGTCTAAATAAATCAGGTCTGTGGCCCACTTTAGATTTAGGTGCCGTCTATTTCAACAATTGCTCGTGCGGTGGGATAGTGTCAGCTGAAAAGTAGCTCATCGTCTTGTTCAGAATCTGGAAGGAATAACAAATATAGTGTGTTACTTTTGCATTCGTAAAATAAATCCAATGTCTTTACCCAGGTTTAAGCTCCTAGAAAGCAAACTGGAGTCAACGCTGAAGTCCTCATTGGAGATCAAGGAGGAGAAGATCGCTGCCCTTGAGGCCAGACTGCAGGAGTCGTCCACTTTGAACCAGCAGCTTCGCCAGGAACTCAAGACCGTACGGGTCAACACGCACACCACAAAACAAGAGTCTGAAAGGCTTCTTCATTTATCTCGTGTGTTTTTCCTCTCAGGTGAAAAAGAACTATGAGGCTCTGCGTCAAAGGGAGGAGGAGGAGAGGATGGTGCAGAGCTCGCCCCCTAGAGGTGTGGAGGACCCCCAGGCGGTCAGCAAATGGGAAAAGGAGAGCCACGAGGCCACCAGGGAACTACTCAAGGTCAAGGACAGACTCATCGAGGTGGAGCGGAATGTGAGTCAGCCGACATAGCTCTTTGAATGCCTCGCTAAAAATTAGTGGTCTTAGTTCACGGCAAAATTCCTCAAAATTCCAACTCAGTTGTTCAGCTCATTCAGGACATTGGGAGCGATTTCTTACATTCTTAAAATTCCCATATCATCATCACTGCATTTCCAAATTAATGGCGAGATTTTACATGCGTAACTAATCCTTCCGCATTTCTTAATCCGTTCTACATGCATACATACTCTTCATCGCATTGCGGGTTCACTTCATTAAACAGAAATCCAATTCAGCTCTGGCACATTACCATTCACGTTCTCTTGTTAATTTGTATTTGTTTTTCACCCCTCCTCCTAGAATGCCACGCTGCAGGCAGAGAAGGCGGCGCTGAGGAGCCAGCTCAAACAACTGGAGACGCAGAGTTCCAACCTGCAGGCTCAGATCGTGGCCGTGCAGAGACAGACCGCCTCTCTGCAGGAGAACAACACGACGCTGCAGACTCAGAACGCCAAGCTGCAGGTGATGTGCACAAACAATAGAAAACTGCGGTTGCGGGGCAGCATTGCAATAAACGCTTCTCTGCAGCTCACTGTCTGTAGCTTACATTGAGGACACAAAACCGCTAATAATGATCATCGTAGTATGCAACAATAAGATATCACTTTATTTATTTATGAGTTTAACATTTTTAATTATGATTTTTTTGTATTTGCATCAGGGGGCTTTAATGAAATGATTTTTGCACCAATTAGTGTCCATGAATACTTTAAAAGGTTGATTTTATTCTGCTCATGTTTGATGAAAAATCTGCCACAGACGACATTTTAATTAGTTTAAGAATTGGCATGCTTAATATGTAAATTATTGATAAGATATTTATAACATATTAAAATATATGAGTGAATGGGATCTTGGATCAAAGGTGCCTTCAAAAAGGTCTTGTTGGCTTGACATATAAAAATATAAAAATTTCAAATGTAAACAGATCGATTAGAACATCAGCAGGCAGGTGAACTTCCGTCCAAGTGATTTCAGTGCTTTGAAAAGCAATCTAAACCGAGGAAGCTTTTGCATTTGGTTGCAAGCCAAAAGGGCCGGCCTCTTTAAAAGCATTTCACCCACATTAGTCAGTCTGGAGCTGCCCCTCTTTGGCTCTGTCCCAACCCCGCCAGCCTGCTTAGCTCCCCCACTATGGATTTAGACCTGAACTCCTTGTTTGGCAGCTTTTCAAAGCCAGCTTATGGGACACGGGACTGACACTGACTGGCGTCTCGCAGTTTTTTTTGTTTGGGGGGGTTTTTCCACGGGGTGTGCCTGCTCAAACGTCTCTATGGGGTTAAGAGGTTTGTTTGTGTTTGGAAGCATATGTTATCTAATTTGTCTGTCACACTAACTGATACTAAGGGCTTTTGCCACAAGTAAACTCGTTTGAATAAAATGGAATCGGATTGTATCCATATCGGTTCAAAATGTCTTCTGATCTTTCACAAGACAATTTGAACGCATTAAGACTTCATGAATGAGTGACTCAACATTTTGTGACATGAGATTATCCTTCGTGAATTGCAAATTTACAATTTGCATCAGAACCGGAAGAAATATATTTTGGCAGCCTGCGTGGGCTCTCTCTGGATATTCCGTTTCCTTTCCGATTTCCCAAAATATACAGATCAGGTCAATTGAAGACTCCAAATTGTCCTTAGGTATGAATGTGAGTAACGTGCCTCTCTTGTCTGTGTTTTTATTTTCACAAGTTTGCAACACGACACATTCAGAACAATGAATGACCCAAAGGGTCATAACACGTGGACCTTGCTTGTCCCTTCCAGGTGGAAAACTCCACGCTGAGCTCGCAGGGCGCCACCCTGATGGCGCAGCATGCTCAGCTGCAGGGCCAGCAGAGCAGTGTGGAAAGCGAGCGCGAGGGAGCGCTGCGGGAGAAAGAGGAGCTCAGGTCCACGTACGAGCTGCTCCTGCGCGACCACGAGAAGCTGGCGGCGCTCCATGAGAAGCAGGCGTCCGAGTTCGAGGTGCTCATCGGCAAGCACGGCGGCCTGAAGAGCTCCCACAAGAGTCTGGAGCAGCAGCATCGCGACCTGGAGGACAAGTGAGGAAATCGGCATTGGAAGCAATGTTTTATGTTGGAGGAGGGACATTAGGATAAGAGTGATTTATTCTCTCAGGTATAAGCAGCTCCTGCAGAGGAAAGGAGATCTGGAGGAGCTGGAGAAGAACCTCAAGGAACAGCAAGACAAAATGTCCGCAGAGAATCAGGGCCACCGTGCTACGGCCGACCACTGCAAATTGCTCAAAGAGGAAAACGACAGGTCAGATTGTGTATGCAAATGTGCTCTTACACATACAGAATAAAGCTTTGCCATTGTAAATATTGAATAAATTTAACATTTACAATTGTTTGGCCGTGACCGTTTGCATAAGCAGATCAGGGAGGAAGATCTCTTATTACAGACCACACCACAGGATAATCACTCGGGATAATCAGATGCGATAATCAAGCCGACTTTGATCAGAAGCGGCAATCTGGCTAAAATTTGGCCCGATTGTGAATGTGTAATCTGCTTTAAATATTGAACACGTTTAATATGTACATTGTAGCCCCTGTTTACTCAGTGGGTTAGGGAGGGAGGGGAACAAAAAACACTCAACACACCCTTGATTGTTTTTTTGTTTTTTTTAACCCACAGACTAAACACCACATACCGCCAACTGCAGAAGGACAACGAGAACTTCCAGCTGGACCACAGGAGCATCAAGAGTCAGCTGAATGGCGCCAAGCTGGAGCAGACCAGGCTGGAGGCCGAGTTCTCCAAGCTGAAGGAGCAGTACCAACAGCTGGACATCACCTCCACCAAACTCACCAATCAGTGCGAGGTGAGGGCCGAGTCAACAACCACAAAGGGATATTTGACACCACGATACGGCTACTAAGGTGTATGGTTCTCCTTCTGAATGTGCTTCTCAGCTGTTGAGTCAGCTGAAGGGCAACCTGGAGGAGGAGAACCGACACCTGCTGGACCAGATCCAGACGCTGATGCTGCAGAACCGCACGCTGCTGGAGCAGACCATGGAGAGCAAAGACCTGTTCCACGTCGAGCAGAGACAATATATGTAAGCTCAGAACAGTTTTTCTTTGAATTAAGAAAAAAAAAAAAAAAGCTGACGATGGTTCCTGAATGAAAAGTTGTGGTCGTCATCTTTTTAGTGACAAGTTGAATGAACTGAGGAGGCAGAAGGAGAAGCTGGAGGAGAAGATCATGGACCAGTACAAGTTCTATGATCCTTCACCGCCACGCAGGTGAGCAGCAGCTTTGAAAGGAGACCTATAAAATATGCATCAGAATCCATGAAGCAATTTTTTCTTTCTTCAGAATTTAAAACTCACCGCAGTTGTCTAAATAAAATGTTTTGAAATTTAATTTCATTTGAATTTTTATTTTACCCAATTGGATATTTTTTTTAAATAAGAATGACTACTTTCTTTCCCATGAATCATTCATTTATTTTAAAATTTATTTCACCTTGAGATCTGTTTTAAATTGATTGGACTTCATTTTTAGTAACACTATAGTTGTAATTATATTAAGACCATATCTAAAATTTTAAAATTAATAAGATATCTATTACAATCTATTACAATTTTAGTAATATTTTTATCTCATTTCATTTTATTTTGTGTATTTTTTAATTGAAATGGATTATTCAATTAATGTTATATCATATCTAGGAATTTAACATTAATAAAATATCTATTACAATTTTAGTAATTTTATCTCATGATTTTATTTTGTGAACTTTTTAATTGAAATGGATAATTCAATTTTAAAAAGTTACATTTTATTCCTTGACTTGTATCTTATTTGAACAAGAATATTAAATTTGATGGGTTCAATTTTACACCGACTGTATTTTGATTTGATTTCAATAAATACCATAGTCTTTAACTGTATTTAATTTAAGTGTATTTTAATGACTGTTTTACTTCATTTCAACTTAAAGTTTTTAACATCACGCTTAAAGATAATTTCATCCTGATTTAATTATTGAGGTAAAATGTTCCCGTATAATCACTAACAAATGGTTTTGTACCAGAAACAACTTAAAGACCCAAAAAGTATTTCTGCTCTTTAACGGACATCACCGACGTGTTTTACCATCCCAGGCGCGGCAACTGGATTACGCTTAAAATGAAGAAGTTCAAGACCAAAAGCCGCGAGCGAATGCGCTCTCTCACGCTGACGCCATCCCGCTCAGAGTGCGGCGACGGCTTCCTGTCCTTCCCCGCCGACAGCCAGGACAGCTCTTCGGTCGGCTCCGGGTCCAACTCGCTGGATGACACGCTCGCGCACAAGAGGAGCAGCAGTAAGTACAAGCACACGCATACGCGGAGCTTCTGAGATGATTCCCAATATTTCTGCGCTTGCCCCTCCCTCCCCCCCCCTGTGCTCTAATTCCTGAATTTCATATCTCTCTGCGTAAGGGAGGAGAGGCCAACGGTGCCTTGTTCAAGGGCAGGGCTCCAGCAATGGTATGCTGCGGACGGGGAGGGTAGGCGGGGGTTGCGAGCCGCCCCTCACCTCTCTCAGGGCATGTTTTCGTGAGTTCCATTGTGTGTGTCGGTCGGCTTACGGCTGAGCTGCGCCCAGGCCGTGAGGTTGACTCAACCAACACCCGAGTAACTCTCAGACTATTTTATTGAAAGCTTTCAATTGCCTGTCAGTCAACCAGCTGATGTGTGCAGTTCAGCTGTAAAGTGGATTCAAACCATTACGACATTGGCCTCCATTATTATTGTTATTATTACTATCAAATGGTGCAAAGCAAAAATAGATTCTCGCTGTTGGGCATGATAAAAGTTTTCAGAGAATTAAAAAAAACAAAATACAATAATAAAAACGATTACGACTTTAAATCTTGAGGTGACATAATGCTGCGCAGTTCAGAGAGAGGGAATTTCACAAAACTTCTCAGATACTTTGTGTTCAAATGAGTAAATTTTTTTTCACAATTTTCAAACTTTGCCCGATGAAATTAAAGCCAAATTCTCATCAACTACCAACCTCTATAAACTTCCTGAAAAGTTTGCGTCAAATAGCAAGAGGTTGCCAGCGACAAACACATCTGTGCTAACCCATCGCTCCCATTAATGGATTGTCATCATCTGTTTGTGTCATGTTGCCGTGGCAATGCAGTGGACTGTGTGGCGCAGGGGTGTCCAAACTCGGTCCTCATCGGCCCTCGAGGACCGAGTTTGGACACCTCCTTGGACTGTAGCGTGTTGAGATTGTGACGTTTTAATTAGAAACGAGCTAGTGTGAGAGTTTGCAAGTGTGTTAGACACTTGGCACTTTGTACGGTGTGCTGTTGTAGTTGCAAGTGTTCTGAGCTTGCTATTTGATTATAGTAGCACATTTTGGTTGATTAAAATGTGCATTGTGCGGGTTTGGGGAAATGTGTGAGATGTGCATGAAAGTGGTCTTCATGAGTTTGTAGTGGAGGTGGATGGCCACACCATTAATGTATGCTTGCATGGAGATTGCGGAGCTCTGCCAAGGCTTTTTTTTTTTTTTTACGTGGGTCACTTGTGGAAAATAAGAGAAAGTAAACCTCAGTGAAATTATCACTTGTGGAAAATAAGAAAGAAAGTAAACCTCAGCGAAATTGCAACCTGATCCAATTCCATATATTGCTGTTATTAATTCTCTTCAAATAAAATTCTTCATAATTACAAAAAAATAGTGATGTTGAAATACCACTTTTTTTTTCAGGCCGACACCAGTATTAATATTCACAGTAGATTGTGATTCTTATTTATATTGCTTTTGTGAAATATTAGTGAAGCAGTTACATCCATCCCTTGAGTTTAGACATTTTTTAGAAAGTTTAATTAACAATTTTATAAATATATGTAATTAAAAAGGATAGTTTGCCTTCTTTTTTTTAATTATACAAGATTTTTTTTGATTTTCTTTCCAAATTATTAATAGTTAAAACGTTGTAATTTTATATACCTAAAATTAAACAACATACGTATTTCATCTAGTTTTCAAGTAATCAAGTAATTTTTGCAATTAGGTGAACAAACTCGAACAGAAGCTATCATGCAAAAAAATGGATCGTTGCCATACCTTGGTGGAGATCATAATGCTTGGGGGAGGTATTAATTGAACACTAATATGATACCGTTCTTAAGCGACTTGAGATGGCTTCTATGTGGTTTTATGATGACTTTCTCGAGTGTGCAGTGCCTCCGCTCGTTCCCTGTTGCCTCTTTTGTCACGTTAACAACATACCCCTTCCCTTTTTTGTTTTTTACCCTCCCTCTGCCTAATTCTGTCACCCCACTGCCACCCTGTCTGTCTGTGTGGCCGCGCTGTGGCAGCTTTAAAAAGGTTGCCTTTCATGAGGAACAGATCCAAGGACAAAGACAAGGCCAAGGCCATCTACCGGCGCTCCATGTGTAAGCCTGCCGCGCTTAGCCGTCATTTTTCCTCCTCCTCCTTCCTCCCGCCGCCAGCCAGGACACCCTCACTGATCTCGTGTGTGTGTGTGTGTGTGTGTGTGTGTGTGTATATGTGTGTGTTTTGCCGTTCTAAGGGCACCCCTTTAATTTGCTTACGCCGACGCCGCTAACATCAGCGTCTCGTCGTGCTCTGTGACCCGTCCACCTTTTTTGAGTCACTCATGTGTAGTGGTTCATGTAGCCGAGAAGATGTAGTCAGGACTAACCCCCGTCGAGTTTTTCTTCTTTTTTTTTTTTAAAGCTGTTTGATTGAGTGTCGCCTGTCAGACTTTGTGTTGCTGGAATCACTGAGCAGCTTTGTGCAATGAAAGGTGCCTTGTGTGCCGTGGTTCGCGAGGGTCAGGGTGACTGTGTGTATATGTGTGTGTGTGTGTGTGTGTGTGTGTGTGTGTGTGTGTGTGTGTGTGTGTGTGTATGTGTGCGCGCGGGGAGGCGTGTGTGGGAAAGAGTGTGAGAGGGTATGTTGGTGTGAGACAGTTGGAGTGTTTTGCAGTGTCCGTCCGTCTTTGTGCGTGTCTGCGTGTGTTAGTGTTTGTGTCTGTAAGAGTGTGTGTGTGTTTAGAGTACTTGAGTGTGTGTTTGAGTGAGCGAGTGTTTCGAATGGGAGTTGTATGTGTGCTTGAGCGCGTGTGTATTTTTGTGCATCTCACTTGACTCGCCGGTGTGATGACTTGAAACAAAGCCGTTGACTTTGAGTTGATTTCGAGCGTTCATTTTCTTGGTCGGCCATTGCACACATTCACATGCCTGATGAGTGTGTGTACGTTACCGCAGCTTTCTGCCTGCCGTCACGCTGCCTTCGAGTGCAAGAAAGACAGCGGGACGAGAAAAGCGCCGTCTTTATTGCACATTGCACTCGCCTCACACAGGTTTAGGTGCATCGGCGAGATCCAAGACAAAGAGATGCTTTGCAAAGATAATGCTCGGGTTTCATTGAAAGTGTATTTGACATGTTTTTTTTTTTTTTTACCCGATGGCATTTTTACCCGATAAAGGCAGAATGCTTAATCCGCGTTTTGTTTTGGATCTCATCAGATGACTGTACTGTACCTAATGCTGTGTCCGTGGAGTGCTGCTAACTTGTATCTTCTTTTTGCCGTTAAACTGAACGCCTGCATGTGCCATTGCTTGGTTGTGCTGTGCGTTGACTTGAGCGCGTATCATAATTTTCTCCACACATAAAACAACTTAAATGAAATAAAAGTTGATGAAAGTTTCCTTATCTTAGACCAGACCCTTAAATCCAACTCCGTCCATCTGCAGCCATGAACGACCTTCTCCAGACCATGACGGTGGCCGGCGTTCCGGGCGCCGACTGGGCAGGCAGCACGGAGAACCTGGACGGCGGCGAGGCGGGAGATGTGGGCGGTGGGCGCCGCGAAGGGGGCGGCGGCCAGCGCATGAAGGAACTGGCCTTCTCCACCAACGCCATCGACTGCGCCACGCTCACGCTGCCCTCCTCCGCCCACAGGAGGGCCGCCCACAGGCTACAGATCAAAGGTTTGCAACCCTCCTGTTTTACGACGCGGGTCCAATTGTCAGCGTTAGCATCCAAGAAAGGGAAAAAAATAATGTAAGCGGCCATACTTTGCATACAATGCGAATGGAAATGATCCATGACGTTCATTTTTACCAACAGATGATGCTTCCTGCGAGGATGTCGCTGGCTCCTCGGATGATCCAAAGAGTCAAGGTAAGCTAAGTCGAGAATCAGAACTCTTTCAAAACCAGGTCAGGAGTTTCTTCCCCCATCCTGTCCGATAATCTTTAGGCCCCCCCACTTGTTTCTCTGATTTAAGCCTGGCAGCGGCCATTTTGATAGCGAGCAAAGTGAAGTCCCGTCCAAAGCAGGATTGACTCTGTTGCAGTCTGCAAGACGCTATTCAGGGCACATGTTCATTAAGTGAGATGTACGGTACATGTTTTATCACTATTTACATGCGTTCTTAAGCTTCTTTTAACACTCTCACTGGGCTTCCTTAATTATGTGAAGGTCTTGGATGCATTAGTGGTAAGCACGGAGGCTGCTTGCCTGATGACTTCCCAGAATGCACGGATAAAACTCCACCCCAACCTGTAATTAGTCCACCATACATTTGGATTACGAGACATTTTACTGACTGCAAAGTCACTAATGAGAGAAATCTCGATTGGCAGAACAGACCATTAAGGTGGGGCGTCTTTTATTTTTCTCTTGAATCTTTTTTGAAAGTATATACCTGTAATGACTTTGCTAATCATGTCATACAATGATACATATGATAACAATGTACCTACCCGTAGTAATTTCTTAATCAATAATGTTGAATTTACAATATCTTTGACTAATGGACGATGCCATAAAGTCTGATGGAGAATGCCATGATGTCATAGTCCATAAGAACAACGTCACATTTCCTTCCACTATGATGCAAAATTTGGTCAACGTTTAGCTTGCCGTAAATAGAGCGACATATACTTTCTGGCCAGCCTCCCCTTCCTCGTCGTGGGTTCTGTCTTGGTTGCTCCAGCAGCCGCGTTGGCAACCGGCCACACTTTCTGTCCGTCGGCCTGGCACGTGCCATCTGCCGCCCCAGCGGGGGGGTCTGCGCCCAGTGCTGACAAGCCTTCACGTTATTTCCTGTGTGTGTTACTACATGTCTTCCCCCTTTGTCCTTGCACCCCTCCCACCAGCCTCCAGACCCTCCAGTCTCCATAGCAACAGGACCACCAGTAGTAATAGTAACAATAACTCCCAGCTCACCTCTCCCCTGGAGGCAAAAGGTATGCTCCTCCTTCTACCCTTCCACCTTTCCTCCTCTTCCTCTTATCTTTTTCATACGTCACCGCGCATGGTTGCACACGTCACTCACCGTGCAAGTCTGCCCCCTAGAGATCCCGAATGGTTTAATCCACGATCATTTCTTAATCTATAATGATGTGACCGTGTCTTGATCTATGCTAACGTCATCTGCGTTCGCTTTGTCATCACGCGCAAGGACAATTTCACAATCCGTAACAACGCAACATCAATTCACATGATCATTTCATAAGATAACAGCATCTTCATGATTCATAACCCTGTCATAATCTATAAATCCTAACCCGTCATCACAATGTGCGTATGTGGTCCTGCCCCATCAGGCACGTTCAACGGCAGCACAAGTCGTCCTCACAGCGAGAGCAGCGGCGAGTTCAGCTTGAGTTTGGAGCAGGAGGCCTGGTCCAGCAGCGGCAGCAGTCCCGTCCAGCAGGCTTCGTCGTCCCGCTCGTCCCGCCAGAGCCCCGGACCCACGCGGCAGTCCCTGGAACCCGCCGCCACGCCTGGTCAGATCAGGAAAACGGCATCCCCGGGCAGCGAGGTGCTTTCTCTGCAGCAGTTCCTGGACGAGGGAATCGACCCTGCCGAGGTGAGCTCTTAAAGATGACATTTTAACTGTCGTGTATGATGACGTACTTTTTATGTAGTTAATACAGAGTCGTGGTTTTGTTATGGAATTAAAAAGTGACAGAGCCCTGTGAAATCTGCTTAGCAACAACTAGCAAAAATCCCTACCCCCCCCAAAAAATTCAAAAGTCTGATCATGTTTGTATATTTTCAAACCTGCTTGAAATGAGTGTCGCAACAAATGTCACAAAAAACAAAATATGCATGTTAAACCTCTTTTTGGGGTCTGGGAGTCACTTTCAAATGCATACTTTTTCAGCAGAATGCACAAAGTTGGATTAACATGAAATGGCATCGGCAAAAAATAGTGCTTCTCAATGTGGTGCATGGGCACCCCCTGGTGGTATGCGAAAGAACCACAGAATCAATGTTTTAAAACGTTGCATTGTCTTAAAGTGGTTCCAAATTTAGTTTTAATCTAATACACTTTGTATAGTACGGTTTAGTAGTGTTGAACTTTTAACACATTTTCATGTAGTCTTTTTGAACCGTTTGTTTTCAAGCATTACAATTTGTATTTAATGTGTCCGTGCAATGCATTATAATTGAATGATTACTTAAGTACGCTTTTATTTTAAATTGTTCTTTATCCATATGCAGTCATGATGGATGAATTCTGAGTTTGAGGATCTTGTCCAAGTATGAGTCCAAAATAGCTAGTTTCTTGTTCATGGAACTTTGAGACTGTTTCGTGCGTCCCATGATAAACATTTCGTCAAACTGGTGTCAAGAGCTGAATTATAATTATAATATTATTATTTTAACTTTTGAGGGGGTCATGGCATTCCTAAACTGCACTGATCCTTTCCTGTGTCTCATGTAGTCGGGCAGTCAGGAAAACCTCACAGTGGAATCCCCCCGCCTCACCATTTCTTCTGAACGCGCGCAGAAGGAGCACCCCGCCATCCGGGGCCGCGGCATCCTGCGCTCCTCCAGCGGCAAAGCGGCGCCGGTCACCGCCGACCGCCCGCCGCGCTCCTCGGGCCAGCCGGGGCGACCCAGCCTGCGCAAGGCTGAGAGCACCCGCGTGAGGGGCTCGGTCCGGCCCACCCTGTCGGCCCAGGCTCGGGCCACGTCGGTCTCAGAGCGACTGGACCGGGCGTCGGCGTCCACATTACCCCGCGCCAGTAGCGTCATCTCCACGGCCGAGGGCAGCTCGCGGCGCACCAGTATCCACGACATGCTGTCCAAGGACAACCGGCAGCCCGTGTCCGTCGACGGGGTCCAAGCCCCGCCCGAACCCAGTGAGTACCCCTCAAAGGGACCCTCCTGTAGCGCCAACTTGCCAAAGTCCCTCAGCTTGCCGTGCCCGAGCTCGGACGAAGCCGAGCTCCCCACCCTCGAGTCCTTCCTGGGTCCCTCCTTCACCGCCGAGTCGGTCTTCATGGACTCCATCTTTAGCGAGTCGGCGGGCAAAAACCTCCCCTTCCTCTCCCTCAACCCCACCCTCGTCAGCAACATCAGTGGACCCCCTGTCGCGCCTTACCAGCCGAGCCGAGAGGAAGGTCCGCCGCGGTCAGGGGCCGAGCATTTGGACGCGGAGGAGAACCTGTGGTTCGAATATGGGTGTGTGTGACGGAGGGAGAGGTTCTGGCCCGCCGATATTTGTTTTGGTGTGTGTGGGGGGGGGGGGGACGCATGTTTTCCTCTTATGGTGCTCCCACGGTGGTGTTTTTGGGGTCATTTTTTTCCAATTTTTTTTTTTTTAATGTTGTTTTTTTGATACACCGTCCATCTCTGATTTCACCTGAAATCACTTGACTATGAACTGGATCCCTCAGTTCATAGCCTGCACCCCACCAGTAAATATGACACTCCGATTGTGGTATCCTAAAAATAAATTCAAAAAAACAAATGAATGTTGCATTGACATTCATAATACAGTGGTACCTTGACTTCCGGATTGCCCCATTTTAGAAATTTTTCAAATTCTGTGACATGAAAAAAAAAAAATGGAGACATGAAGGCACAGTCACACACAAACAGCTAACCTGACTCCGGCTCCTGACAACACCCACTAGGCCACACCCCTTGAAGGCATACACATAACACACCACTTCTACAGTATGGACTGTAATTAGTTTATGAAAGCTGTTTTCTTTATATTGGTTATTTTGTGAGTTTTTTATACAAAACACTAAGTCAAGGAACCACTGTATTGACACTCCACCTGCTGTTTTTGTCTGCATGTTTCACTTTGATTGCTGGGATCAAAATGCTGTTTTTATTTTCATTTTCATTTTTTTGGGACACTACCCTTTCCTGTATGTACGTTCCTTTGTGTTTTAAGATTTCCCCTGGAAAGCAGGCTTCTTCGGTCGGACTCGCTTCAAGTTGTCCAATGGACAAAAAAAAAAAATGATGGTGGGGGCAGAGGGAAGTTAGTCGTTCGTCGTTGTGGTCAAATAGGCTATTGATTTATTAATCCTTTCCTTGAGGCCCCAAAAATGGCCATGAGTCAGTGTGACCCGCGACATGCATAGTCATCTTGAATCAAATCAATAAATGCAAATAACAGAACGCGTACAACACAGTTAAATCCATTTGTTTTAATCTGTGAAATTGGGAAGCGGGCTGCTTTTTTTTTCGGATGGACTCATGCAGGGGGTGCGCAACCATTCCTACATCAATAAAAGATGATGAAATGAATGGTTTTGATAGATGATGAGCATTTGGGGAGGGCTTCGTTTGCGGGTCAATGTGACCCGCCACGTGCGTATTCATCAAAAAATACTTATATTTTTTATGTATTTTGTTCAGTTTTCTGCCACCGCTTGGCGCTCATATCTGACATTGTACTGTCTAAGAAAAACAACAAAAATGAGTCTACCCGAACAATTTGCACCTCCCCAAAAAAATCATTTGACATTTCAAAACTGGTCGATTGAACACACAATAAACTTGTAAGAGGAGGGTTATTTAATAAAAGGAGTGCCAAGCTGGCGCTCTTGTACGTATTAAGTTATGAACGTATACGAGCAGACTTTGTTGTGCGACTTGCATATGCTTATTTATTCCCTCTTGTACTCACTCGCTTGTTTTGTGTCGGATTTTAACGTGTGCGTGCGTGTGTAACGACGTTGCTTTATTCCACAGATGTGGAGGGCAGAAAGTCAAAAAGCAGAAGTGGCGAGTGCTAAGCGCCACACGTGGTGAGTGAGCGCGTGCGGGATGGGAATGGACGGTTGGGGTGCTTGTTGCCATGGGAACCTCACACGTGTTGTAACCGTCATCCATGCAAACCCCCCCCCCTCAAACCCCCCCAAATAATCAGACGCAGATTGTTGTTGTTTTGCCCATCGCTGCCCTGCCTCCTCCTTGTTGCCATGACAACGCATGTAGTTCCCGGCTGGCTCCTGCTTCTTGCCTTTTCCGCTCTTATCATCAATTTCTCGCCTTTTCCACTTCCTGTGTGTCTCTCCAGTACAGGGTTTCCCAAAACTTCTTGAGCCTTTTACATTAAGTTGCGGATCCAATTGAAACAATTAGTCAGAAGTAATGAACGTAATATTGATTTAAACAATTCTGGCTCGCTAAAAATGCCTGGGTCAAATTGACCCTGGAACCATGCATATGCGTCATGTTGACCCAAGTCCATTGTTGCTTTTGCTGAGTATTAAAAGTGAAATAAAGAAAACGTTTTGCAAAAAAAAAAAAAAAAAAAAATTCAAACTGACAAAGCAGGTGTCACCATTTTTTTTTTCTTTTTTTGGTGACAGTTTCTTTTTGGGCACTGATAAACCTCACAAGAACAGTATTTGCGTTTTCAAATTATCACTTCCACGATGTTCCTCACAGGTGAGCCTTTTTTTGGGGTGGGAGGGATAACTCCAGATAAAGAATTGGCACATTTATGATCAATTGAACTTTTTTTTTAACCCCGATCCCCATAAAAACTTAACACATTTTATAGAAATAAAATTTGATTGAGTGAATGACACTTTTGGATAACTAAACGGGTCAAATTGACCCAGGAAACAGACAGGGGTCAAATTTACTAGAGAAAAAAACCCACCCAGGTTATTTTGACCTAGGAAATGTGCTTGGGTCAAATTGACCCAGGAAACCTACCCGATTCAAATGGACTATTATTGCTCGTCCTGAGAAACACGCAACAGAAGTGTTAAAAAAAATTGTTGAAAAATATCCCAAGTTATTATTCTTTTTCTTCCAACGGATTTGTTTTGTTTGGCCTTTTTCTGGAGTGTCCTATTCTCCATATTTCCTCCCATGTTGTTTCTAATCTGCTCTCTTCATCTTCCCGCTCTTCCTTCTTCTCTTTCTTGGCTTGCCGGGGACTCACAAGGTGGTCTTGGAGGTCCGAAGCCTGGTAGACAGACGGCGTGTATACCGCGAGGAAAACGATTGTAAACTCCCACCATTTTGTTTAGTTGCCTCCCAACCCTTCAGTCGAGAAAATGGCTTCCTTCTGTTTTGTTTTTCTTCCTTGAATCAAGGAAACGGACGAAGATGTATCCATTTTGTCATTGTTTTCTACCCCTTTGTTTTTCGTATAATTTTTACCCCCCACCCGTGTGCCCTCTGCTGTGATGTGCACTACTCTTTGTAAAGACAACAATTCAAGTGCCAAATCACAGCCTCCACCACAATCTTCCCTCTACCCCCCACAAAAAAACAAAAACTGGATGATTCCTTTTGGATCTTCTGTGAACTTTAATCAAGGATGACAGCATGTACACGTGTGTTGCATACATTCAGCATTGTGGACCTCCAAAATGGGCATGACGGCGCAAACAGCGGACCAAATGGAACGCTTCCTGTACTGTTGGGATTTTGGGAGACAAGCCATGAGTGTCTGATATGAAAAGTTTGCACACCCCCTGTTCAAAAGACAGGTTTTTTTGTGATGTATATAAAAAAGACACCAAGATAAATCATTTCTAAATGTTTTCCCCATTAATGTAACCTGCAACTGAAAAAATGTGGTTGCACAAGTATGCACACCCTCTTATCACTGGGATGCGGCTGTGTTCCAAATTAACATTCAAACTCGTGTTAACTGGGAGTCAGCACACACCAGCCACCATTTAAAGTGCCTCTGATGAACCCCAAATAAACTTTGGATGTTCTAGCCGGCTCTTTCCAACATTTTGTGGTCAGTTCCGACAGCACAGGCAATCTATTTTATGAATGATTTATCTTATATATCAAAATAAACATGTCTTTGAACAGTGGTGTGTAAGACTTTCTATGGACTGTGTGAGGGATGCTTCGACAATAATGTAACACCTTAGCTATCACTTAATTCCATAGTTGTTTTTTTTTTTGTCATCTTGCACTCTGGAAGACCTTACCAAAAGCACACACACATACAGTACATGCGCGCACATTCTGTGAACAAAGTGCATTCTTGTTGCTATGGCGATGCGTTTTCCCTCAGTTTCCATTTTTACACAAACCCATTTGATGTAATTAAAATTCACAAATTAAGAGAAATATGTGTGTGTGTATTTTTTTCTTTAAATTTTTGAATATGCATTACTATACCCTAATGTCATCATACGTGTATAAGTGACTTGATCATGGTAGGCTTTTTACAGGTTTTCTTTTGTGTAATTTTTTTAATACAACAGGTTTTCATCAAAAATATACAGATTTTGTTTGTTTAATGTGATTGAATTTGACCATTTTGTAATCATCCTCCAATAATTGTACTTACCGTAACATCACAGTAGACTAGTGTATACTGATTTGATAATTAATCAGTTATAAGTGTTTAGCCCTCTATTGTACTTTTTTTCCACTTTAAATTTCACGTCTTTTGTTTAACCATTTTATAATATCGATCCAAAGGATACTTTTGTTTTACATTTTCTATGAATATAAATTATTCACAGGTCTGTTTTCAAATGGCGATAAATAATATGACGGCTCTCATTTCGTATGTCTAAATTATTTCCATCACGTCAAACATATTGACGTACTGGAAAAGTGTGCTCTTGTAACTCTATTTGAAATCCTGCAATTAACTGGAGTGTGCAGATGTGTGAAAGTATTTCGGGGTGTGGAGAGATGGGCCTTTAATGTTCGTCTGTTGCTACGGCAACGGCAGCTTCCCCGCTGCTTTAACCAGCTGGCTAACTCCCCAGTGTAATTAGTGGTCATACGAGAGACTGGAGACTTCATTTTGTAGCATGTACAATATCATGAGATCGATACTAGAGTCTGTCAAAATGTCATGTCTGCGTCTATGTCTCAATTTTGACTGAGTGGAAATTATACACGACACCATGCTATGCGATGAGAATACGGAAAAAAAACCGAAATTATTTTGGTTAATAGGTTGTATCGTGGTTATTTTTAAATATGTGTACGCCACAGCAATACATGTTTTTATTTATTCATTCAGTTCATATATTTGGAGTAGTACAAGCCCACCAACCATCAACAAACCAAAAACATACGTTAAATGTTTTGTTTACAAACAAACTGCAAGTACGATGAAGAAACAATGTTTTGTTTGCGGAATTGGCGTGTCCGTTACATTGCGGCTAATTTAGCAGCTATTAAAGTGGTCGTTTTTACTCCGCAGACTACGATACAACAAAGACATATTAATGCAAAATATTTTAAATATATTTTAAGATTTGCGTTTTCTCGTCGCGTTAAATGAAAAGACAAAGTATTGAAAGAATCTAATTACTGTCCACCGCTTGATTTATTTCTTTTGCAGCTGTTGCAAGTCGGACTCTTTTCCTGGCGCACGTAAACCACCACGTCCAATCAGAAACCACCTTATCGAAGTACTTCCGCACATGTGACCTACTGTCATGGAAGCCCCCGTGCGCACATCTGCGGCGTAAAATCAGTCGCCTTTTCCTTTCTGTCGTACTTTATCTTATTTCCTCTTTCATACAAATTGAGCCATGAGGCGTTTACTACAGCTTGGACGTTCCTTTTCTTGCTGCCGCGCACGTCTGTGCCACCAGAGCGTGTACAAAAGTCACGCCAATGTACGAAGTGTGGGAGTGGATCTCGGAGACAAGTGAGTTGATTGCAGCCGAGTTTCGATTTCCGTTGAAGTGATCTGAAGATGGAGCATCACAAAACCCTGGAACAAGTCACATGAAGATCATCTCGTGGTAGCTACTAAGGGCCACTTTTCTGAAAAGAATGGCAAACACGACACTGCGAGATTTAGTTTTGAAAAGGATACTGAAAGTCGACGTTTAAAAGTATTATATTTTCGAGATTTCAAGTCGTATTCTATCGTATTATGACTTTTCTCAATAACTGGAAATATTCTTGAACATGATTGACTTCTCTCAAAAACATACAATTACCTCGAAAATATATGACGAGCCTTGTAAGATTAGAAAGAGGAATTTTTTTGTCCCGCCAATATACCGGTACGACTTTTCATCCAAAAAAATATGACTTGAATCCATTTCGATTTTTGTATGCAAGTTTTTGTATGCTTGTGACTGGCAGAAAACTGGAGATTTCCTCTGGGAGGCTGGCCAAGTTTGCTGATGGCTCTGCTGTTGTCCAGGTAGACACACACCACATCTGTTAAAAAGCAAAGCTGCAGTGTTGTTGGGTGCACGCAGTCTTTGCTTGCGATTTGCATATTTTATTTCGATAACAATTCTAACTGCCTTTTTGAAGCTGGGTGACACCTCTGTGATGGTGACGGCTGTGAGCAAAACCAAACCATCTCCCTCTCAGTTCATGCCTCTGGTGGTATGTCATTTAAGCACATGGTCAGTGTATTCTGCTTTTCCGGTGCGTAAAATGTATTCTTTGATTAATTGGTTGACAGGTAGACTACAGACAGAAAGCGGCGGCCGCCGGCAGGATCCCCACCAACTATTTGAGGCGAGAGTTGGGCACCACCGACCACGAGATTCTCACCAGCAGACTCATAGGTAACCTTAAAAAAAAAAAAAAAATCATATATTACAATGGTACCGCGCTTACACGTGGGACCCAATTTACGTTTCTTATTGAAAAACACTTGACAAAAAATGTTCTAATCTATTAATGGCATTTTAATTCATATCAATGGGGCAAGATGATTTGCGATAAGAACATGTTGCGATCCAACCTTGTTGATGGAATTAATGAAATCTGTAAGTCAAATCACCATTGTATATTTGTCTGGGTTTTTTTTTTTTTCTTGTGTTCAGACAGGTCCATTCGACCTCTTTTCCCAAGCGGTTACTTTTACGACACTCAGGTTGGTTCTACTTATTTTCAACCTGTTGCATTTTTGTGTATTTCGATGAAAGTGAAGCTGATATGTTTTATATTATGAAACACATTGTTTTTTTTATATAGTACTCTCTTTAATATTTAGGAATTAACATTATGGTGATGTATTTTCATAGATTCTGTGTAACTTGCTGGCCGTGGATGGCGTCAATGATCCAGACGTGCTGGCTATTAACGCAGGTGATAATGGAATATTTCATAGCACGTTCCTCTTGTAATTATCATTTAAGGTCATTGTTTTGTTGTCTTTTTCCGTTCAAGCCTCAGCTGCTCTCGCTCTCTCGGACATCCCTTGGAACGGACCCATAGGTGAGTGACGCGCAACTTACACATATTTAAACATTTTGGAACAGTGAGGGGAAATTTCTGGAACTGTAACAATGCCTGATTATGCACCTCAATCTGAATTTATACCGATGCCAGTTTGTATGAATTGCCTGCAGGTGCTGTGCGTATGGGATTGGTGGAGGGCGAGCTACTGGTCAACCCCACTCGAGCGCAGATGGCAACCAGCACGCTCAACATGATCGTGGCAGGGGCCCCCAGCAGTCAAGTGGGTCAGTCAAGCATTAAGAGTTTAAAAAAAGTATCCACATCCACATGCCGTGACATTACTACAACCAGGCTGTCCGTTGAGACCTTATCGAAACTTCTCCACAAGATGGCGCAACTACACTCTTAATTGTGCTTGCTTCCAATCGTTCCTGATGTTTGATAGTTAGGTCGGGTTGCAAAAAGGTGGAAAAATGTCAGCTAAAATGTTTTTAATGTTGTTGTTGTTGATGATAATAATAAGAAGAATGATGATAATAATGTTGTAATGTCCGGATGACCTTTCTGGCGTGTGGTGGGCAGTGATGATCGAGGCGTCGGCCGAGAACGTTCTGCAGCAGGATTTCTGTCACGCCGTCAAGGTGGGCGTCAAGCACGCGCAGCAGATCATCCTGGCCATCCAGCAACTGGCGCGGGAGCTTAAAGTCACCAAGCGCACGCTGCCCAAGATGTTCTCGGCACCTGCAGAAATGGTGGCGCACGTGCAACAGTAAGACCCACACACGCCACTCCCATGTTGATATGTAGGCGAAGAAGAAAAAGATGCAAAAGTATGATTGCATCCTACATTGTTTGATGTGCATGCAGATCCGCCACCGATAAGATCTACGCTGTTTTCACTGATTACGCACATGATAAGGTAAGCGCCAAACTCGCCCAGGGTTGCCCCATTTCAACCTGTCCTGCCTCTTTAATGATCACAATAATCCTTTCGATCGAAGATTTCAAGAGACGACGCCATCAACAAGATTCGCCTGGAAACCGAGGAGCACCTCAAAGGTAGACGGTGCTCGCTGTTCTGGACGCTCTCGGTCACGATGAAAGAATAAAAATTGTAATTCTAATTTTTGTCTTTTTTTCAGAGAAATTTCCTCAAGCCGAACCTTTTGAACTCATTGAGTCCTTCAACACTGTGAGCAGGGACATCTTTCGGAATTTAGTGCTCAACGAATACAGGAGGTCCACATTTACAATTGATTATATTTTTATGATCTATGCATGTTAAGGACACCAAACTCGCCCAGGGTTGCCCCATTTCAACCTGTCCTGCCTCTTTAATGATCACAATAATCCTTTCGATCGCAGATTTCAAGAGACGACGCCATCAACAAGATTCGCCTGGAAACCGAGGAGCACCTCAAAGGTAGACGGTGCTCGCTGTTCGACGCCATCAACAAGATTCGCCTGGAAACCGAGGAACACCTCAAAGGTAGACGTTGCTCTCTTTCCTGGACGCTCTCGGTCACGATGAAAGAATAAAAATTGTAATTCTAATTTTTGTCTTTTTTTCAGAGAAATTTCCTCAAGCCGAACCTTTTGAACTCATTGAGTCCTTCAACACTGTGAGCAGGGACATCTTTCGGAATTTAGTGCTCAACGAATACAGGAGGTCCGCATTTACAATTGATTATATTTTTTTGATCTATGCAAGTTAAGGACGATAATTTGTGCGCGTTTAGGTGTGACGGCAGGGACTTAACGGCTTTGAGAGACATCTCCTGCGACGT